AACATGAACCTTTAACTCGTCACAACCTCTTCTGAGAGAATGTTGCCCTTCGTAGCTCTGTATTTCTGCTCCTTTCTTCTACCCTTTGTGAAGAAAAACATCTTTTTTTTCTTAAAGGCTTAAATTACAGATTCTGTATTTCATACGTATTTACTGCCCGGCTTCCTTTATTGCTGTGTTCAGATCCACATTCCTATCTGGTATTGCTTGCTTCTGTTTAAAAATTATCTCCTTTCATTTCTTTCCCTGATAATCTTCCTAGCAATGACTCCTCAGCTTCAGCTGCCTGAAAATGCTTTATTTGCTGCCTTTACTTTTGAAAATATTTTTGCTGGATGCAGATTCTAGATTATTAGTTTTTTCCTTTAATAACTTCTATTATTATTGTGACTTATTGTATATTAATATCTAGGAGGGTGAGTTCCTCCTCAATTCTTTTGTTTTTCTCTCTAATTTATTTTTCCCACAGGAAGTTTAAAGCCACCTTGTCCAACTAAAAGAACTTTCTGGTGATACTTTTAAAAATTCCATGTGTAGCCGGGCAGTGGTGGCGCACACCTTTAATCCCAGCACTCGGGAGGCAGAGCCAGGCGGATCTCTGTGAGTTCGAGGCCAGCCTGGGCTATCAAGTGAGCTCCAGGAAAGGTGCAAAGCTACACAGAGAAACCCTGTCTCGTAAAACCAAAAAAAAAAAAAAAAAAAAATTCCATGTGTAGGTTAACTTGGGAGTAATTAACATTTTTCTCATCCTATACCTTCCTGTGTATGAGACAAGTTTGTTTTTTTACCTTTTTCCAAGTGTTCATTTGCATTTCTAAATAGCATCCAAAAATTTTTCCTCAAATAGGTCTTCAATATTTCTTACTATGTTTAGAGATCTTTCATTTTTTTGTGATTGGTCTTGTAGGTGATGAAGTCTTGTTATTTGCTCTAAGCAGCCTTTGTGTAGGGAGCCTGTTCCTCTCCACTAGTCTTGTCCCAACCATCCCACCGTACTCACTCATATTCCCCATTCATTTGCTGGTGACTTTTCCAGTGTGCATTGTAATGGTTGTGCATTCTTACATTTGCCATGTTGGGAAACTGAGGTGGGCAGAAATGCTGCATTTAAAGCAATAGATTCACAATAAGACAGATTCGGATAAAATAATTTACAATGTGTGTAAAAATGTACATAGGCTTGGAAGAGAGAAAAAAGTAATATATGCAGTTATATAAAAATAGATTTAAAAAATAAAGTCTTTAAAGATAAAGTAAAAGTAATATAAAAATAAGCCACGTAAAGATAGATATCACACAGAGAATCTGGATTGTATTGTCTTTGTGATTTTTAACTGCAGACTTTGGATTGTAAAGACTGCTCAGTTAATCCAATATGTATGTTTTAAAGGTACCTTGACTTTAAAATTGTGTAAGGATATGTTGCTTTGGAAAGGAGGCTCTGCTTTTGTTCCCACAGAAGGCAAGAGGCTATGAGTTTGTTCCAGATTAAGATACATCAGATTTGACTCCCTGAAAGGTCTCCAATGACACCATGGCCCAGATGATCCAACATCCAGAATGGTTTCAAGACAACTGGCTTAGAGAATACAGCCTCACGAACTGCCTCATAATCCTAAAATTTTCTTTATGTCCCCATAAGAATACAGCGCCTTCATCCAGCAGGAAGTAGTATGAGAAGCTACGCTCAAATTCCCAAATATACCAAGCTGGCTTTGGAGATGGAATTGGCTCACTCCTTCTCTAAACCCAAGCATATTTGCTTAAATAATAATAATAAAAAAAAAGGTTGAGAGATTCTTTTGTCTTATATCAGAAGAGCCCTCTGGTGTGGGACAGAGAAAAACCAATATTTTTATTTAAAGCAGATTGATTATAAATACAATCTCTTTCTAAAGAAGAAAAGGGAACGCAATATCACAGCATATATATATATATATATATATATGATGAAAGGGTAGATAAATAGACCTACTTTTAAAGAGCAACACATTCACAGCATCTGCAGCACCTGAATGTCTTTTTATACTGTCCTGATAGTGCCTTTCTTCTTCCCCTCTGGTTCTGGATGCTTTAGTCTTCATTTAAAACCCTTTCCATCCTGTTGCATTATGTATAGTTTATGGAGTGTACACGTTACCAATCTGTCATCTTTTGACTGTATTTCAAGGTAGCTCCTTTTCCACATGGTTAGATGGATTTTGCCTTGAGCGCATCTGCAGTAGGAACCACTTCCTGTGGAGTCCCATGGGCCTGTCTGTGCAGGCATCTGCGTGACTTGGTTCACATTCCCTCTGCTGGCTCCGCTCTTAGATAATTTTTATGTTTATTTTTTGACTATAACTTCCTTCAGTTATGGTTAGGAGAAACTCTGAAAAACACCCACACATGGCACAGTTTTGGAAGCTTGATTTCTGGAGGTCTCCTCTTCTACCACCCACAACGTCAGGCAGACAGTCAACTTCCTGCCACAGCCTTCCACCCATGGACAGAGTTTTCTAGTCCTTATATGGAGGAAACAGTCCCACCTGGCTTTTAGTTCCAGTCAACAAAACCAGTTCTGTCTCCTGTCACTTGCAGCCCCAGGCTCAGCCCTCTGCTCCTGTGGCTCTTAAGACCCTGCACCTAGGTGCCACAGCCCTAGGAACCATTTGATTTTAGCATCTGCTCAATGGTATACGTTTGATTTCCTATTGTCTTCTGGGCATTTGGGAATGTTCCTTGCTTGTTGAGCTTGGCTATGAGATGATATTAGCAGCCACAGCGTCAAGGACATTTTGATTCTGCAATAGCGGTGCGACCCTTATCCCTCTTGGGCCCCGATGTCCTCAATATAACCGGAAGCAGGCAATTTGCAGAGGTAGTCTCTGACTCCAATCCATAACAATTGCCTGAGCGAGGACCGGGCGCTCTTGTAACCGTTGCTGTGGTTGTTTTTGTTACGAATGCCATCACGTAATCTCACTGGTTTTTAGAAACGTAGATAGTATTTTCCTGAGAGGAAGGGGTCCATTCAAATGACAAGCAGACTAGATTTCCGATCCTATAAGGTTGTGGTTCAGCTTCCCAAGGTAAATCATGGTAGCTGATGAACAACAAGCAGTTCAAGGGTCGGCTTCAACAGCTTCTATTACAAAGTAACGAGGCTGAATTCCAAGGTCTGCAGACTCTACCTTATTGACTTGCATGCCACCCCAGGGGTGTGTGTGGGGTGGGGGAAGGCACAGAGTGCCAACAGTAATTGTTAGTAAGCTCAGTTGGAGGATGTCGGGAGATGCTCGGAGGCCAAGGTTCTGAATGTTTCTCATTAATTATCTTCAAAACAAACTCTCAGCCTAAAAACCCCAATTAGAGAGTCGCTCAGGGCTCAGACGGCCGTGGTGGCAAATTCACCCTGTACTGGTTTTCATTTCAGAAATTGGAGCGGTACAGTGGAAAACTGTGGTCTCTGAGTCAGCCAGGCTGGGTTCAAATTCTTTCTCTCCCATCTACCAGCTTTAGGACAGTGGACAGATGAGCTGGCGGCTCTGTGCCTCAGTTTCCCCTTCTGGAAGATAGAGGTAACAATATCACGGCATGCACTTCTCCACACTATTGCACAGATTAAACCAGTAGCTCTGTGAAGAGCCTGTCTAAGCTATCCAGAGATGGTTTAGCCATCACCCCGTGCCTCATATGGCACTTCTTGGTCCTTACTAGGACACAAGCCACCTCTGGGTTGGTGCATATGTCAGCAAGGACGGCCCTGAGGATCCTAAAGACAGTCCCTCCTGTCTGAGCAGAGGACACAGGATCTGGAAGCTGGTGACACTTTCCTTCCTCGGTCGCATTCCCCTCCTTTCTGGTCTCTTCCGGTTCCTTTTAGTTCTCTTGACTCCAACTCCCTCTCCATCTCCTCTGCTGGGTCTTCACACAAAGTCATCCCCCCCCCATCCCGTCCCCAGAGTCACTGGGCCTGTAGCTTGCCCTCAGAGTCTGGGACTCCAGAAGCAAGCCTGGTGTTAGCCCCTGAGTGGTGTCTGTCCTGCAGCCTTGCCCTAAAGCGGAGCTCCTAAATCCAGGGACTTTCTCTTCTCAGGAAAAAGCCTGAAAACTCAACTGAGGGTTGAGCCTGCTGCCTCCCCAGCCGGAGATCGTTCTCGTGGTTAGGAAGGCGTGAGTGACGGCTTCAGTCCCCACAAAACTCTTTTCTCAAACGAGCATTGGATGTGCCAAGCTGACGTCACCCCCTCTTTAACTGGTCGCAAGGAGTCCAGTCCACTTTGGCTTTAATTAAAAGATCACGAAGCTTGGGTAAATGATGGAAAAAAAGATATAGGAGCAAAGAGATTAAAGCTGTGCTTTGTTCTCATTGGCAAGTTTAAAGTTTGGAGAATATTGAGTTATTCTCTTTCGCCATTACATCTGAGCGGAGGATAACAGAACCAGCCTGTGGGGCACCCGTGTGTCCTTCTGAAGGAGTTCCTAGCCGCCTGTTTGGTACTGTCATTTGTCACTTGATAACGTGTACGGACGGATGCTCATACAGATGACACTTTGATATATACATTTACACACCTAGGACCCTGGACTTCCCCCAGTATCGAAGTGTGGAGAAACTGAAGTCAGCGAGAAAGCAGTGAGGCCTCTGTTTGTTTACTCATGTTGCTATAACAACAGGCCAGTCATCAAGCACCTTAGTGCAGCAGAAACATACTGCCTTGCAGTTCTGAGACTGGGGGTTGCTGCCGCACACTCCCTCTGGAGTATGGTGTGTGTGTGTGTGTGTGTGTGTGTGTGTGTGTGTGTGTGTGTGTGTACCTGGCCCCTCTCCCAGCTCTGCTAGTTCTTGGCTTGTGTGCCATAAACTCAGTCTGCATGTGGCACACTCCTGGTGTGTGCGTGCCTGTGTCCAGATTTCTCTTTTATAAGGACATCGGTCATATTGGATTAGTATCCTACCCTGCTCCAGAATGACATCATCTAACTAATTACATCTGTCTTTCTCTCCTACTTTCAAGACTCCCCATGATGGCACTGGGCCCGTGTACTCATGATGATCCAGAACGCTCCCGACGGAGGCCATATCTCCATAGACTGGGTATGAGGATTTCAACATGACCTTGGTTGGGATGGGGTGACACAATAGGATGTTAGCTGAGCAAGTGGGGGCCCTGGCCTGGCCCTTCCTAGTGGCGATGGGCATAAAGAGCAGACCACGTGGAGGAGCATCCATGGCTGGCGAGCCTATCAGGGTGCTTGAGAGGGACACCAAGTCAGAGTTATTTTAGCCAAGGGAGGTAGAGCTGCAGTTGGGGTTGTTGGCAAGAAGAACTGTCATTTGGGTTTCTAGAGATGGACACTTTCAATTTTGGACAGACAGTCTTGTCTGCTCATAAGTCACCAGGATAAACAATATGATTACACCAAAATAAAGAAACTTGTTCTTGGAACAAAATGATGACATCACACACCAGAATGTGGTAGCCGCAGAGTGAGACAAGAAGACCGTTTCCCCAAGTGAGGACTTACACTGGCCTGTTGGTCTTGGGTATTAGTTACCTGTGTGCTGCTTCAACAAATTACCATGAACCTGCTGAACTGAAGCATGCGTTTTTTCCCTTAGCACTGTTGTTCAGAAGTCTGATGTGGCTCTCACGAGGTTACAGTCAAGGTACGCTAAAGACTCCTTCCTCCAACCTCTAAAGCGACTCAAATTTCCTGGCCCGTGGCCCCTTTAGGCTAGTAGTGTAGCATCTCCCTGACCCGTCTTCTACCGTCACATGTCCTTTGCTGAGCCTTTATTTTGCCTCTGTCCTCTACCTCTACAGATTCTAAGCGTGGTAGCATGCTTCCTATCCCACCGCACAGGAAGGAAGCTGAGGGCTAAGACGGGAGGATTTTGAGATGTGGAGCTGCTTGAGTTGGGTAATGAGACCCTGTCTCAAACCTCAAAAACAAGAGGGGAAAAAGGAACTCAGGACAGTCACTCATACCTGTAGACCCAGCACTTGGAAGGTGATGGCTGGAGGTTCAGGAGCTCCAGGTCTCTTGGTTTCAGGGTGTCATCCATGGTCATTTGACGCTGGTGCTGCAGGGCCTGAAGTGAGATGAACGTCATGGCCGGGAACACGTGGTGAAGGGCAGTGGCTCACTCCACAGGGTGAAGGGCAGTGGCTCACTCCACGGTGGACAGGAGGCAGAGAGAGGAAGGTCTATCCAAGGAAAAGATAGACCCTTCGATGGCAAACCCTCCTTCTAATAGCTCATTCAACTGTGAGCTTCAGGGGGTTCATCCGCTGATGAGTTAATGACCTTGTGACCCACTTGCCTCTCCAGAGTGCCACCAGCTGGGAGCCACGCTTTCACTAGTGAGGCTTTGTGAGTATGGGCGGTGCTGTGGGACGGTCTATATGTCAAATTGCTCTGATTGGTCAATAAATAAAACACTGGTTGGCCAGTGGCCAGGCAGGAAGTAGGTGGGACAAGGAGAGAGGAGAATTCTGGGAAGCAGAAGGCTGAGGCGGAGAGACACTGCAGCCGCCGCCATG